TTATCTGTTTCAGGGCCGGCAGAACTGAAACTTGCTCCTAGCTCATCACCGCCGTTGTTTCCCCGTAGACCTCCCACTCACTGCGACCATGGAGTCCGCAGTCCTCCAGCTGATGGAGAGCATCGTCAAGGACAAGGACGCGTGCGGAATGATGGCGTCTCTCTTCCAGACTATCGCCGGCGACATGAAGGTACGTGATCGACTAGTGCCCCCGCCGTGGAGCTCGGCCGGTCCGCCCGCCGGCCGGCGGCACCGTTCGCACGCGCCCGTCCACCCAGCGCCGCCTCCGCCTCCGCCGCGCACCGCGCCCGGGCGCTGCAGATGGGGGCCCGTTATGTCCACATAATTGCGCCGCTCGAAGGGTGAGCGTCTGCCGCAGTGCGTCGCCGAAGTCGAGCGCCGTCGCGTCGGATCGCGCGCTGGATCGGGCTGCAGGGCGCCGAAATCAATGCTCGTGGCGTCGGCGGTCATGCGGGCGCCGGGAGAGGATAGCGGGCCATCCGGACGGAGCCGAGCCGAGCCGAGCCGAGCCGAGCCGAGCCGAGCCGAGCCGAGCCGAGCCGAGCCGAGCCGAGCCGAGCCGAGCCGAGCCGAGCCGAGTCGAGCCGAGAGCCGAGAGCCGAGAGCCGAGAGCCGAGAGCCGAGAGCCGAGAGCCGAGAGCCGAGAGCCGAGAGCCGAGAGCCGAGAGCCGAGAGCCGAGAGCCGAGAGCCGAAAGCCGGGAGCCGAAAACCCAAAGCCTAGAGCCGAGAGCCGAGGGCCGAGAGCCGAGAACCTAAAGCCTAGAGCCGAGAGCCGAGAGTCGAGCCGAGCCGAGCTGAGCTGAGCCGATGGAGCTGGGCCGGGCCTCTCAGTGGCGCTTGCAGTCATCGTCCGTTGACGGGAGATCGGCGCTGTTCGGCTGCCGTCTCGGGCCGGGCCTCTCGGAGACGCTTGCGGTCATCGTCCGTTGACGGGAGATGAGCGCTGTTCGGCTGCCGTCTCGGACCGGGCCTCTCGGAGACGCTCGCGGCTTTCGCCTGCTAACGGGAGACCGGCGCTGTGTGGCCGCCGTCTCGCCTCCTGTCCGGTCAGCTGGGCTCCTCGTGGTCCATCCAGCACTTATCACTGTGTTGTATTTGCATGCGGCCTGCATTGGTATGAAGCGCTCCTTATCTCCATTCTTTATTAGATGCGGGATGACCCTCTCTTGGAGATCCGCTGCAGCGCATAAAATTGACATCCATCGCATATGCGAAGCATGGATGTTCTGAATTGTTGCCATTTGCTCCAAATCGCGGCCATCCAAAGCTGGAGCAATTTTATGATGGGTCTTTATATGGGCGACGGGATCGCCCCCGCGCACAACCCTGGTCCTTAGCATCATCATGACTCAGCAGCGGCGAAGCCCAGCTGTCGGTGATCTGAACGTTATGGAGCCGTCGCATCCATTAGGTGCAGTCCTCCTCGGCCCGCTCTGTGTCATTGCCACTGGCCCCGACCGGGGTGGCCAGGGGTCACACATTACAGGACTGGCAGGAAGCCCGGTCGCCGACCAGGCCTGTGTCCGTCTGCCTCGATGTGGGCTTTGTTGCCGGGGCCGCGCGGATGGCGGCCCCGCACGCTTGGGTCGGCTCCGGCCAGCGCGAGACCCCCTGCCATCTCGCTGGCGGCCGGACCGGCAGAGCGCCGGCAGGCGGCGGCGGACGCGCGCGTCCACTACAGCACGACAGCGCTGAGCGAGCCTCGACGCGTCACCACCCATCACGCCCGACGGCCGGGCAGCTCTGCGCAGCTCTGGGCAGCTCTGGGCAGCTCTGGGCGGCTCTGGGCGGCTCTGAGCAGCTTTGGGCGGCAGGGGGCGGCGGCTCTGGACAGCTCTGGACGGCTCTGGACAGCTCTGGGCAGCTCTGGGCAGCTCTGGGCGGCTCTGGGCGGCTCTGGGCGGCTCTGAGCAGCTTTGGGCGGCAGGGGGCGGCGGCTCTGAGCAGCTCTGGTCAGCCCTGGACAGCTCTGGGCAGCTCTGAGCAGCTTTGGGCGGCAGGGGGCGGCGGCTCTGGACAGCTCTGGACAGCTCTGGACAGCTCTGGGCAGCTCTGGGCGGCTGGGGCCAGCCCGGCGTTCTCAGATCAGCCGCACTGCGGAGGCTTGGCACCGAAGGGCTGCAGGCGGACCGCTGAGAGTGGCCGCTGCGACCGAGGAAGGGCGCGGGACGGTCGCCCATAACCGGGCGCCGAGTGGTGAGGTTGAGCCTTGCCAGCGGGCCTTAAGATAGCCCCCGACTTATTAATTGAGACCAATGCGGATGCCATCCAGGGACTTCGTCAGAACAATGGCGAAACACGTGTAACATTCCGGGATGTTTGTAGAGCCGAGTGCCAAGTGTGATGCCACATTGCCTTCGTGACAGCGCGGTGCGTCGTTTGACGCGATGAACGTAGGAGTGCCGAGCATAGTGTGACACGTTAGACAGCAGGTACGGGAGCGCCAGGCGTGGTGTGACACGTTCCGCAATAGACGTAGGAGTGCCGGGCGTGGTGTGACACGCTAGACAGCAGGCACAGGAATGCCGGACGTGGTGTGACACGTCAGACATTAGGTACAGGAGTGCCGGACGTGGTGTGACACGTCAGACATTAGGCACAGGAGTGCCGGACGTGGTGTGACACGTCAGACATTAGGCACAGGAGTGCCGGACGTGGTGTGACACGCCAGACATTAGGTACAGGAGTGCCGGACGTGGTGTGACACGTCAGACATTAGGTACAGGAGTGCCGGACGTGATGTGACACGTCAGACATTAGGTACAGGAGTGCCGGACGTGGTGTGACACGTCAGACATTAGGTACAGGAGTGCCGGACGTGGTGTGACACGCCAGACATTAGGTACAGGAGTGCCGGACGTGGTGTGACACGCCAGACATTAGGCACAAGAACAGTGGGGCGTGGTGTGACGCGATCGGCACCAGAGCGTGGCGAGCGGGGCGCCGTCGGCCGCCGAGGTGCAGCGCGTCACCGTCCGCCAGCCTGCCGTGACGGCCAAGACTGTTCTGCCGACCCGGCCCGGCCCGCCCGACGGCGGTACGACTACGGTGCCGCCCGGCGCCCGGCGGGAGGCGCAGCAGCGGCCCCGCCCCAGTCGCGACAGTCAGGGCCGCGCGGCCGGAGACGCGCCCGGCTCTGGACTGGAGCGGCCATCTGGCCGGCCGGCTTGGGTCACCGGCTGCCGCTGGCTGGTCTCAGTCCCAGACCGTTGGACTCAGCTGAGACAGTCCCGGGAGGAAGGGGGGGGGGGGGGGAGGGCGGTCGTGTTCAGTGGCATGATTTCACGCCCGTGTTCTGGTCGGCCTGCGCCCCAGTTGCTAGCTGCCTGTTTGGCCAGGTGGCCAGCTGTGTTTACACATTCGACCCAGTGTAAAATTAGTCCCAGCTAATGAGGGGGGGGGGGGGGGGCCCCGCCGAGCTGAATGAACCCATGTGGCCGGGCCGCGTAATCGTGCCAGCCGGGAGAGCCGGAGTGAGGGCTGGCTCATGGTGGCCGGGCTGAGGGAGGGCTGGCTGATCATGGCTGGAGAGGGAGGGCTGGCTAACTGTGGCTGGACCAGGGAGGGCGGGCTGATCATGGCTGGAGATGAAGGGCTGGTTGACTGTGGCTGGGTCAGAGGGAGGGCTGGCTGACCATGGCTGGAGAGGGAGGCTGGCTGACTGTGGCGGGACCAGAGGGAGGGCGGGCCGATCGTGGCTGAGCTGGGCTCAGTCCGAGTCGTGAGCTGGCGATGGTCGGCGCGTGACGTCCGATAAGATAGCCGGGCTTAGTTCTCCCGTTTTTGCGGCACGCTTTGTGACGGCGCTGGGGCAGGGGCCGTGGTTCACTGCCGAGTGAATGGCGCTGAGGGGCGGGGCCGAGTCCGTCCCGGCCGGCGCCGGCGCCGGCAGCCGGGCCGTCGTGGCGCGCCAGCTGGAGCCGCTGCTGCGTGCCGCGCGACCTGGGGCGGCGCGGCGACACACGGGTGTGGCGTCCGCCGCCTGACGCCTGCCGACTGCAGCGGGTGTCGTACCACCTTGGCTCGTGGCTACCGACGCACGCCGGGGCGTCCCCGTGACACATCCGCGGCGCCGACGCCCCGACTCCCGCCTGATGTTCACAGTCGACGCCGTCTCTGTCGGACGCGGCCCGAGCCCTCCGCTGTCAGACCACGCGCGGCTGCGCGGCTCATCCCGGCCGCGCCAGTCATGCGTGTACACGCAGCACGAGATCGGTGAACGACGGCGGCCGTATCGACCGCCACACCGCGCGGGGAGGCCCCCTCGCCACCAGACCCGGCAACGAGGCTAGGTCGCCATGCACCCCTTGCTTTTTGGAAGCGTCAAGCATTTACCCCGTGGTGATGCTTCGGAACGGGGTCTTTTGCTTTCGGGCACCCTCTTCGTGTGCACCTGTTTGTACTGGTTAGCTGGCGTGGCTGACTCGTTGTCGATGCCGCCTGTGTCCGTGACTGACCGTGTGCCGTTGTCCTCGGCAGGGCTCGCAGCCGCTCTGGGAGGAGTTTGTCAAGCACGCCGCCCGGCTCCACTCCTGCCTCAAGTGAGTGTCGTCTGCAGCGACCGTGTCCGGCTGCAGCTGGGCTGGGACACTCGCTCTTGACTGCCTCGCTCCGCTCGCCCGCTGTCACTGTTATGTCCAGGAGCCGGCTGGGCCGGGCCGAGCGGCGGAAGGAGGACGCTAGGCGTTTTGCATGGTTCTGCTATTCGTGGTCCAACAACACGCCGAGGGCACAGGCCGTGATATGACGGCTGGTAATGCCCGGTCGGTTGACTCTGGAACAGGAGACGGCTGAGCAAAGCTCTGTGTGCCGTACGCGCGGTCGGGGACCGCGGACCGGCGGGTGGACCGGCGGACCGGCGGACCGGCGGACCGGCGGACCGGCGGACCAGTGAACCGGTGGACCGGAGGACCGGCGGACAGACGGACAGGCGGACAGGCGGACAAGCGGACCGGCGGACCGGTGAACCGGTGGACCGGAGGACCGGCGGACAGACGGACCGGCGGACAGACGGACAGGCGGACAGGCGGACCGGCGGACAGGCGGACAGGCGGACCGGCGGACCGGCGGATCGGTTCGCTCCCGAGAGCTGGGCTGACCGACGCCGGTCCCGGCCGAGGTGTCGCCGCCGGGCGTGTCGAAAGCGAAGGAGCCCGGCACGCAGAGCGGCACCTCGCCGCCAGAGCCGACTCGCCGTGTGCCGACCGCTTGTGCCGGCTTGGCCGCCATATGGTGACGGCGGCAACGGCCGTAAGCCGGAGCAGGCGACGGGCGACCGCCCCGGCTCCCAGTCGACGGCCGCGTGCGGCTGTGCCGCGGCGCACGGTCCCCGCCTCCGGAGCGAGAGCAGGTTCAGAGGGCTCGCGTCACCAATGGGGGATCTATGTGGCTAACGAAGTCATGTCTATGCCATCTGTCTTTGCCGTCAGATACCGCGGTTCATGACGACTTTTTTCGGAGACATCATGTGGTTTAGGAGCTAACGAACTTCGAACGGTGGACGTCTAATCACGGTGTTGCTCTCTTACAAAACAAATGTATTTTTCATGTTTTTTTTCTGGCACCAACTCACCATGTGGCTTCGCGAGTCAAACTGGACAGGACAAGAATCGCTACGGTCTGGGTTGGTTTCGGATGAATCCCAGGGATTAGGGCTGAACGGGAAGATGACTGAACCTGACGAACGAAGCGAGTAAGTCAGCAACCGGGGGGAGGGGGGACAGTACCCCCTGAGCACCCCGGCGACCAAGCCGACGGCCCTTTAGCCGTTAGACGGGCCCCTGGAGCCGAAAGCCAACTGCTTCGCACTGGCATGGCGCCTCTAATAAGCTATCACGGCGATTGGACAGATCAGTAAGCTGCTGTGCGTCAGTTAGCAACAGTCGGGAGCGAGGAATGTGGGATAAAAGAGCCTCAGTTTCGGCCACCGGGAAACAGTGTGACATTTGTGTAAAAACAAATACGTTCAGCGGCTGATCAGGACGTTTTGCCTTCCCTGCAGCAGCGAATGTCGCCTGTATCTGCTGCCCCATCGAAGAAAAGTGCGTATGACATCCTGACCTAAGCGAATTAGATATGTGGGTTGCCTTAAAGCAGTTGGTGGGTGCGCTAAGGAGCCTAAGTTAAAGTCACCTGACACGACCTAAGAATTGAATTGTGTGTCATTGGGGCTTTACGACGCACTCAGCCGCTGAGGCTATAAATTGCGCCGTCGGCCCGTCTACGTGGCAGGAAAGGCGGTTGAGGGTTGTCGATGCTGCGAAAAGCGCCCTTCTTCTCTGAGGAGATGTGTACCACTGGTCATGTTCGCGCGAACAGAGTCAGACAGCACCCGCACATTGCCGCGGTCCGAGCGAGCTTCACGACGTGACTGTGGCGGCGGACAGTGGCCCTACCGCCTACCGCGCGGGCGGTCTGACGCGGCTGTGGTGCAGCCGTTGAACGGAGTCGGTCGCGAACGAGCCATCGCTCCTCATCACGGCGTCATCACCGTCACCAGCGTCACCCGTGACGTCACCCGTGACGTCACCAGCGTGACGTCACGGGCGTGCCGTGCGGCGCCGCTGGGACGGGATCTGGGCTCCCGGTGCGGCGGCCGGACCGGCCGGCCCACTCCCCCCTGGGACATTCTGTTTGACGAAGCCCAGGGCGACCAGCGACAGATGGCGCTGTCGGAACCTTGCAAACCGGCCCGTTCTGTCCAATTTCACGCAGGTGTGTGGAGAGGTGCCCGCTCGCGATGATGCTGGCAGTCTCCTCACTTCATGCTTTCGTGTTTGAGCCATACGCTTGTCTAGGGCACATCATTATGCCTGTGTGGGTGCATACTTTGCACGTGCGAGCTACATTGCGCGCTCATTCACCGATATGTGCAAACAAGGGCGCAGTAACTCGTGCGTGCCTGCTTGCGTGCGTGTGGCATTTCACGCCGCTTGTTCGGGCTTCCCTGGTCCGGGACCGGGTGGCGTAATAAGACTGCATGGCGAACGGACGATGCAAATGAAGCTAATTATTGGCAAACGCGTCGGAGCTAATGTACCTTGGGGCGCGAGCCAATCTGGTTGCTAGGCTAGCTGGTTGCTAGGCTAGCCAGCGGGAGTTCAGATGCCGAATAGATTGTTCCAGGCTGAGCGTATTTGCCCAGCTCTCACATGACAGGTGAGGCGCCAGAGGTCACTGCATGTTCCGAATGTGATCTCAGGAGCGGTGCGTCGGTGGAGGGCGCCGGCGCGGCGTCGGCAGCACCTGCCGCGGCGGCGGTACACTCCGCCCGGCGCGGGCTCTGTTGTGACGGGGCGTCAGGGCTGTCCCTGACCTGGACCGCGCGGTGGCCGGCCACCGGTCCGGTTACCGGTGCGCCGCGCCCGGCGTAGGCGGCGCGGCCGGAGAACATTGGGCGGTTCACGGCGGCGCGGCGTGGTGACAGGACCCCGCCGCCCTTCTGCTCTCTGTACGGGCTGGGTCAGCCCCTAGTGGACAGACCGGCGGCGCGGCGTGGCGACAGGACCCCGCCGCCCCTCTGCTCTCTGTACGGGCAGGGTCAGCCCCGGTGGACAGATCGGCGGCGCGGCGTGGCGACAGGACCCCGCCGCCCCTCTGCTCTCTGTACGGGCTGGGTCAGCCCCTGGTGAACAGACCGGCGGCGCGCTGTCGCGTCCCAACGCCGCTGGCCCGCAGCGGTGCAGCGCGGGGCGAGCGTCAGCCCGGCCGGCTTCCGCGGTGGTGAGCCTGTCGCTCACCCGAGCTCAGCCGCGTTGAATGTGACGGTCGTTGCCGTGGTTACGGCTGTTCCCACGGCTAGACAAGCCTTAACAACGAGTGTTTACACGTTTACAGCGCTTACGCGGGCGGCGCAGGACGTGCTTGTCTTGGTGTAAGCAAAACGCATGGTGTGGCATCTACCATGTTCATTGCCGAAGGCCAGTGGATCCTCCGGCTACAGTCCCGCCTGAACCGCCCTCTGTCTCCGCGACCCCAGCCTTCGACCCCAGTGATGAGTTGCGTTTCGCGTCTGACCACGATCGCTTGGCGGGGGCGGACCGCCGGTGGTGCTCGACTCGAGTGCGGGAGGGGTGAGAGAGCGACACCAGGGGCGGCGGCAGTACCACACACGGTGCGTCGGTCATCGTCCGTCAAGAGGGCTGCGGCAGGGCCGTAGTGTCCGCACAGCACCGCCCTCCGCTGGAGGTGAAAGTGGCCGGACCTGAAGTGCCACGGACCGCTCGGACAGCGTGGACGGCGGCGCCTCATGTCCGCGATGGACCGCGGCTGTCCAGCGCTGCCGGCCTGAGCAACGCTGAAGCTTGTTCCGAGCGATCTCGGAATGGCCTCGTCGCTGGCAGAGCTCGTGCTAGCTCTTGGAATGTGGAATATCACTAATAACGCGCCGTGCTGCGGACGAGAGCTCTCCACTTCAGCCCCGCTGTCGACCACAGCTCCTCATCCGCCCAGGTGCCCCGAGATGCAGACGCGTGGCTGTTTAGCTCAGCTCCGCTGCCGACCACAGCTCCTCATCCGCCCAGGTGCCCCGAGATGCAGACGCGTGGCTGTTTAGCTCAGCTCCGCTGCCGACCACAGCTCCTCATCCGCCCAGGTGCCCCGAGATGCAGACGCTTGGCTGTTTAGCTCAACTCCGCTGCCGACCACAGCTCCTCATCCGCCCAGGTGCCCCGAGATGCAGACGCCTGGCTGTTTAGGTCAGCTCCGCTGCCGACCACAGCTCCTCATCCGCCCAGGTGCCCCGAGATGCAGACGCCTGGCTGTTTTGGTCAGCTCCGCTGCCGACCACAGCTCCTCATCCGCCCAGGTGCCCCGAGATGCAGACGCTGTTTGATTCAGATGCAGATGGCTGTTTAGCTCAGCCCCGCTGTCGATCATAGCAGCCTGCTGTTCCGCTGTAGTCTGCAGCGCTGCAGTTCAGCTCTGCTGCTGGCCTCAAATCCCCAGTTCGGCTTGTGCCGGCCAGAGCTCCCCACTTCAGCTCCGCTGCCGACCGCAGTTACTCATTCGCCCAGGTGTCCCCAGGTGTGGGTGACTAGCTGTTCAGCTCAGCTCCGCCGTTCATCAGAGCAGTTCTCCTGCAGTGTGCAGCGCTGCAGTTCAGCTGCACTGCAGGCCTCAAATCCCCAGTTCAACTTATACGCCGGCCACAGCTCCCCAACTCAGCTGCGCGGCAGACCGCTGGTTCTCAACGGGTGTGATCCGCGGCGGACGGTAGCTGTTGGACCCTCTGATCGGGGCCGCCACACTCAGACGGGGCTGATGCTCAACAGGCGTGATCCGCGGCGGACGGTAGCTGCTGGGCCCTCTGATCGGGGCCGCCACACCCAGACGGGGCTGATGCTCAACGGGCGTGATCCGCGGCGGACGGTAGCTGCTGGGCCCTCTGATCGGTGCCACCACACCCAGACGGGGCTGATGCTCAACGGGCGTGATCCGCGGCGGACGGTAGCTGCTGGGCCCTCTGATCGGTGCCACCACACTCAGACGGGGCTGATGCTCAACGGGCGTGATCCGCGGCGGACGGCAGCTGTTGGGCCCTCTGATCGGAGCCGCCACACTCAGACGGGGCTGGTTCTCAACGGGTGTGATCCGTCGCGGACGGCAGCTGTTGGGCCCTCTGATCGGGGCCGCCACACTCAGACGGGGCTGGTTCTCAACGGGTGTGATCCGCCGCGGACTGCAGCTGTTGGGCCCTCTGATAGGGGCCTCTCACACCCGGCCGGAGCTGGCTCTCAACGAGTGCGGCCACCGCCTCTGTTTGTCTGGCTGGCGCGGTCGGGTGGGCACGCGGGCTGGACACGAGACGGGCAGCCGGCTGTGCTCGTCTAGGGGGCGGGCTGTGGCCATCACGACGACGCTGGAGCCGTGCCTCCACTGACGGTGGTCCGTTCTTGTCCCGCAGGGCTACACTCCTGGCTATATCGTCCTATCTGGACTCCTTCCAACGCATAGCCGACACCGCCAGTGCCGCAAAAGGTAAGTCCTTGGTGGACTGCTTGGGGCGCACGCTACGTGCACGCGGTTTTTTACGAGTGGCCTTGTCTGTGGCCTTGTTTGTGTAATATACGATGCGGCGCGGGGGCATTTCATTGGGCTGCCGGGAGGCTTTGGGGCAACAATCATCCCTCCGCAGGCACCGTGCGTGCACCAAGCCGCGTTTCGAAACGGCAGCACGAACAATGAACGAATTATGATTGCATTTGCGTCACACACCGCTCCATTTGAAACTTAACGCTGCGACTAGGAGGCACTCCACGTCAAACGCACTGAAATCACGGCAGGCAAAACGGACGAAATACACCAACGCACTTGAGCTTGGCTTATCTAAATGGCATCCATATCTTTCTTATCCATAGGTGTATCAACCATAGACTCACGTCATCACCTATCACAGCCACTCCCCTGGCTGCGTCCTCTGCCGCGGGTGGCGGAGCCGTAAGAGGCCATCATGCTGACTAGTCTCGTGCCGGTGTGTGATTACACCTCGCTCTCGTCTGGGATACATGTCGCATAACGTGCAGTTTCGGACGTGGCCGTTATGGAAGGTGCCATTAATGTCCGCTGTACCTGGAGCCGTACGTTGCGAAAATGGATGCCTGGTGTTCATGGGATGTTTATCGCGGCGTTTTGAATCAACTGAAGAGATTTCTGTGCAGCCCGGCCGTTAAATACCGCTGCCTGTAGCCAGCGTCCGTGTCCATGGGCCGGCTCGGCGCTCGCGGCGCCCGACCTGCGCCCCGGTGCGGCGAGGCTCGGCGAGGTCCACGCTCCGCCGGCGGTGCGGCTATAATGACGGTAAAACCGGGCACCTGACCGCATTACGTCAGGAAGGCGCGCAGTTTATGCCCTGCCGCGAGTGCGATGCCAGGACTAATTTCGACGCGGCGGCAGATGTAATAAGCTACGCCTGCGCCGGCTGCCGGTGGTTTGAGCCCGCCCCGGTGAGGCGCCGGCGGCAGAGGTGGTAGCCTGCGCCCGCGCCGGCTGCTGATGGCCTAAACCCTTCCCGGTAAGACGCCGGAGCAGAGGTGATAACCCGCGCCTATGCTGGCTACTGATGTCCTAAACCCATCCCGGTAAGACGCCGGAGCAGAGGTGATAACCTGCGCCTGCGCCGGCTGCTGGTTGCCTGAACCAACGCCGGTAAGACGCCGGAGCAGAGGTGATAACCTGCGCCTGCGCCGGCTGCTGGCTGCCTGAACCAACGCCGATAAGACGCCGGAGCAGAGGTGATAACCTGCGCCTGCGCCGGCTGCCGGTGGCCGGAACCCGCCCCGGTGAGGCGCCGGAGCAGAGGTGATAACCTGCGCCTGCGCCGGCTGCCGGTGGCCGGAACCTGCCCCGGTGAGGCGCCGGAGCAGAGGTGATAACCTGCGCCTGTGCCGGCTACCGGTGGCCAGAACCCGCCCCGGTGAGGCGCCGGAGCAGAGGTGATAACCTGCGCCTGCGCCGGCTGCCGGTGGCCGGAACCTGCCCCGGTGAGGCGCCGGAGCAGAGGTGATAACCTGCGCCTGTGCCGGCTACCGGTGGCCAGAACCCGCCCCGGTGAGGCGCCGGAGCAGAGGTGATAACCTGCGCCTGCGCCGGCTGCCGGTGGCCGGAACCCGCCCGTGAGGCGCCGGAGCAGAGGTGATAACCTGCGCCTGCGCCGGCTGCCGGTGGCCGGAACCCGCCCCGGTGAGGCGCCGGCGGCCGGCGGGCAGCAGCAGCCTGCTGACGGCTGGGGCGGCGCCGGTGCCGGACCGCGAGCGCGGCCGCCGGGGCTCCCTCCCGCCTGCGCCCCGGCCTATCTCCGACGCATCAGCACCGCCGCGCTAATGCGCGGCCGGCAATGGGGCGCGTACGCGGCTGGGGCAGCGGCCGTCCGTGGCGTGGAGGCGGCGACACTCTGGCTAGGGAGGCGAGCTATGTCTGGGTGTATCTGCTCACCACTGATCATGGGGCGTACACCGGTAATATACCGTGAAACTCACGGTAGCCAGACGGTGGCCCACCAAGCACGATGCCACATGGCGTGGAGTGGTTGGCTTCATCGTGAGGCCACGTCATTTATCATCGGTAGAGTCGTCCGGACAGGCCTACAATGGGTTCGTGCTTGGCACCGCGCGTCAACAAGAAGCTGACGACCAAACTCAGTGCAGCCAAGGCGGTCCGCCCAGCCAAGCCACACAATGGGCTTTGGTGCTGACGTGCCCATAACGCCACACGATCGACAGCGTCGCGGCTGGTCAATGGCCATGATTTTTCATCGCAGTGTGCTTATGGCAATACAATGCATTGAAGTTGAACATACGAGATGTGTACAAAGATACGTGTGGTGAAGTTGAATGTTCAAAATATGTAACCACAATGTGTGACATTCAAATTGAATGTGTCAAGAGGCGTAGTCGGACGGAACTGGGCGTGATGTTGGCTGCGCTGAAGGCCGTCACCTCCGCCGGCACCCGCCGAGCCTCGCTGCCCCCAGGTCAGCTTCGCACGCGTCGCGGCTGATGTCGTCGGCTGATTGGAGGAAGTTTTTTTTCATTTTTTATGGGGACCGGCGCCCCATCCCGCAGCGTCTCCCCCGGCGCCTCCTGACCGGACGTCCGGTAGTGTCTCCTGCTGGCGTCTCCTAACAGGGCGTCCGGTGGTGTCCCCCCCGGCGTCTCCTAACAGGGCGTCCGGTGGTGTCTCCCCGGCGTCTCCTAACAGGGCGTCCAGAGGTGTCTCCTACGCCTCCTGACAGAGCGTCATGTGGCGTCTCCCCCGGCGCCTCCTAAAAGGGCGTCCGGAGGTGTCTCCCCGGCGTCTCCGTCCGGTGGTGTCTCCCCAGGCGTCTCCTGACCGGGTGTCCGGTGGTGTCTCCTCTCCCCGGCGTCCGGGCGTCCGCTCGTGTCTCCTGTCCGCCCGCCGTTCCACATTCCGCCCCAGCCTAGTGTTGTTCGGCGACGAGCCGGCACCGGGTAGGCGGGGCCGGACGCGCCCACCTGTGTAAAACTCGCTCATCCGGCCTCGGCGCGCCCGCAGCGGCGCCCGGCCCCGGCCGCCGGAACGGGCGCCTGGGGGCAGCGGCCGCGCACCTCCACACAGCGGCAGGTCGGTGGGGATCTGAACGCACAAGGGCAGGGTTGGAGGGATCCAGTCCAAGCGTAACCCAAGTCGGGCAAGGACTGGCGACTCTTGCCCGAGCCGTACAGCCTGTGGAGGTCAGGATGAGCAGGACGTTGCGCCCGGATGTCACGTGGCACGGCTACGGCGCGTCCCTCCCTGCTTGGGGCTAGAGCGACCGAAGCACACGGAAGGCACGTGGTGTGGAGGCGAGCGCGCACGTCGCGTGAGGTTACTCAGACTGTGAGAAGTGGCGGCATTGCTGTGCGACACACTATTACCACATTCCTGTTACGATTCGAGAACTGCTTCACAACTTGCTTGCCAATTCCGCGCCACCTGACTGACGTGCATTTGGATCCACTCAGTCTGGGAGGCTCATAACTCACGTAGAAGTTTGCGCTCGGGCTGGAATATGCAGACATGGATCACTGCGGCCGCAGATATCACGCTTCTGCCGCCCGGCTGCCGGGCGGGGTAGGCAGCAGCAGCCGGTCCCCAGCCGGAGCCACGGCCCGGAGCGGAGCGGCGCTGCAGCTCACGCTCCGGCCGCCGGGGAGGGGGAGGGGAGGGGAGGGGATAGGCGCCACGCCGTCTGCCGCGCGCCGTCCCCCGCCCCGCCGCCGCCGCCGCGGCAAGCGTCAGCGTCGGTATTGATTGGCGCCGCGCCGCGCCGGCGCCGCGCGCTTTCTGACCCTGAAAACGGCCCGGTCCGCGGCTGGCGGCGACAGCGACGACAGCGGCGGCTCCGCGACCGCGTCCGGCCGCTGCCCTCGGCCAGCCGAGGGGAACGCCACCGGTCGGGTGCTCGGCCCGCCGTCGCCCGACATCGCTCGTGCTGGGACGGCTGGCCGAGCACGTGCTCGGCGGCGGTGCGCGGCGCGGGCGGTGGGCGGCGGCCGGCGGCGCGCGCTGCCGGGGTCGGCCCCGCATTGCCGGTACCGGCGGAGATCCGGCAGCCCGGCCGCCCGCCGCCGCCGGTGACACTGACGGCGGACGCACAGACGCCGGCGCGATCAATACGGCGTCGGCAGGAGTGCGCCGCGACCGCACGCCGGCGCGCCGGCCGGTGCGCGTGCGTGGAGCCCGCCCCGTGCTGGCCGCCGCCGCCGCCGCAGCGCGTGGTGCGGGGGCCCCGCGTCCAGGGCAGGCGATCTGCGCGGGTCGGGCTGGAATGCAATTAGCTGCCTCCACCCAGCATCGACCGCACCAGCCGGCGGGAGTGGTGCGAACGGAGTCGTGTGCTCCGCCAGCGGCAAGTCAGAGCCGTGCCCTGCACCAGTAGTAGTGCACAAAGCTTTTTGCTTCTCCAGTGGCAGATCGGAGAGATCAGAGAAGAAAGTGAGAGTTCCAAGACCATTTATGTCCATGCGTCGCTATAGTGTACATTGTGCTCAGGATGCATTAAAGGGTGCAGTATGCTCGTTGTATGCTCAACATTCTCGGGAGGTAGGGATGCTATTGCATTTACACCTGCTGGCCGGCTCCTACGCCTATGGATCTCGGGGTTGTGTACCATGTCAGCTTCAGGACACAGGTCATAGGGTTATGTCTTCCGCCAGTTGCAGATCGCATGGCCGTATCTCCCGCCATTGGCAGGTCACAGGGTCGTGCTCTCCATCAGAAGCAGGTCACAGGGTGGTGTTCCCCACCAGCAGGAAGTCGCAGGGTTCTGCCAGTACTTGGACAGCTCCACGGGCTCACAGGATTGGACCAGGCCTGGTAGCAGAAAGCAAGAGACCCTGTGCTGCCACTGCTGGCGTCGCCGTATTGCGTGCGCTATATGCACGTCAAATCTGCTGGTGCACGACCGCTTGCGCAGCTCGATTGTCCGCCTTTATCCTCCATTGTCCCATTCCAGGCACTTCTTTTCTTCTGCCGTGTGC